GTAATTTTTGACTACATAAGTGGTCCTGATCACTGAGGAACAGGGTAAAAACAGGGTAAAAGGGGGCTAACAAAGTATGCTGAGAAACAGATTTCTTTCCTTGTCCCGCTACTGCGGACCCTCTCCCCTGCCTTCACGTCTCAACTTTGCCAATTCCTTCTCAGGGCTTACCCCTGTGTTTTCTCTCTCGCTCTCTCTGACTCTGCACACATACACATGATATATGCATGCTCAGTTTTATTGGCCCCTTTTCTGAATTCATTTCATTGAAGGCTGCAGTGAAAATGAAGGGCTTAGTTCAAAGCCATTTACCTCCTTGAATTAGAAAAGAGGGCGGAAAGTGAGGATGGGGCACGAGGGAAAAGTGCTCGGCTGCACTACTTTTATTAGGCTTTGTTTATTAGTCGCGCTGCATCTCCAAACGTCCCTGGCTGCATTCACCTCCTTTACATTCCAATGTGCATTAATGACATTCATGTTCATTAAACCCAGCCCCGAGAGCTCTCTCGCTGTGTGTATGTGTGCGTATGATCCTTACTCCTCGTTACACTCCCCCCTCCCCGGACCTCAGGGATCTGGACGCACATAAAATCCTCATTCATTATTCCTCAATTAATTTAGCGGCATGTTTGAAAGCCATCCCGCATGTGTCTCTCCTTCTCGCCCGGGGTGTGTTCAGAAAAGCACGCTACACTGAGCGGCCATGCTCGGTAGCCAGATGGCCGTGGGTGTGGAAGCTCCGTTTGGGCATCCCCGTGTGAGGGCGCACCAGATAAGGACTCTACTTAACCTATTCTAGGAAATCTTAGTGGGCCTATAATTGAGTGGGTGTGCACACTGCATGCTGGGTAAAGCAGTCTCGCTCTTCATGGTAACGGAGCAAACAGAAGGTGTATTGTAATTGAGATTAAATGGAGGTATAAAGGAGACAAAGCTTGTTATTTACATCAAGCTGTAAGGCATATTGGAGTTGCAGTCAGCATACGTGTATTACGATCGTCATTAGAAGTAATGCGAAGGAGTTCTTGCCGTTTGAGAGAGGAGGTTAAGACACCTTGTATTATAATGGTTTCCATGGGAATAGAGGCAGCCGTCATTACAATGTGGTTCAAACTGGGTTGGTTACCATGGGAATACTGATACAGGTCAAAGTCATTAGTAACAACGGCTGCTGCCGAAGATGATTGATGTCTCCTTAGAGACCAGGAGACAGATGTTGAGTTGGATGTTCAGTGGTTAGACATACAACTGCAAGCAATATGCTGAGCGTAAGCCTAGGTCAAAGGTTTTCTCTTCTATATTTCTGGCCACTTTATTAGAAACACCTAGATTACAGATGTATAATTACAGATTATAGCCCTAAAAAGTTTTGACCAGTTCTTAGGTGGTATCTTCCAAGGTTTTTACACAAGACACAGTTGAAAACATGCACACATACAAAATAAAATACATGAGGGGCTCCTTTTCCCCATGGATCCGCTTTTCCAGTGTATTAATGCAACTGCCCACCGTGCTTATCACTGACAACACCAAGACTGTCAGCAAAGGAATCCAGATGAGAGTATTTTATATATACACACACACACACACACACACATATAGATAGACAGACAGATAGATATACAGCCTGTGGGCAGCATCCTCTGAGCACCGATGAAGGACTAGAGGATGAGCAACACAAACTGTGCAGCAACAGATGAGCTATCATCTCTGACTTACATCTACAAGGTGGACCAACAAGGTAGGAGTGTCTAATAGAGTGGACAGTGAGTGGACACAGTGTTTTAAAAACTACAGCATCACTGCTGTGTCTGATGCACTCATACCAGCGAGTGGATATATATACATATGGATCACAGTCTGTAACTGCAGAACTATATAGCGCTTCTATATCGTAAGTGGAGCTGATTAAATGGACGAGATTAGAAATAAACTAGGTGCACCTAATAAAGTGCTCAGTGAATGTACAGAGAGAGAGAGAGAGAGAGAGAGCGAGGAGAGAGCGAGAGCGCGAGAGCGAGAGAGAGAGAGAGAGAGTCTAGTTATTAGCTTTCTTCTGAGTTTACCACTGTAAACTCACTAACACTAGCCCTGTTCAAGCTGGATGTCTTTCCTGAGGAGGTTGTGACTTTACTGGCCATTTGTATGGGATAAAGATGATGTGTACACTCTTAAACGGCTTGTAGGTCCAACTTAAAAATTACTTTGTGTGCTAACAAGCAACTGAACTAGTTTTATTCCACTCAAATAAATAGTTTGATCGCAAAGTTTTTTGTTGTTGTTGTTCAGTTGCTTGTTACCACATGAAGAAATCATTCAAGTTGAACCATTTTTCACAGTGTATTTTCACCAAATAACCACAGAAAACCTGGAATGAAGTGTCGTATCCTAGAAGCACACGTCAGCATTACACCACAGGCGCCATACTCAATAACAACAACAACACACTTTGGGATGGTGTCTCATAGCAGACTAAGTAATTGCATTAGTGTGAGGTGGTGTGTTTTTTCCTAAATAATTATTTAAATGTTTTATTATTAACAATTTGACACAAATGTTTTACACACCTTATACATATATAATATCATGGTGTTCAGAGTAAATCTCAAGAAATATATCTTTGTGATTGCTGTGAAAATTTACAAGACATTTCTATTGAAATACTGAGAGAGAGATACAGATCTGGGCAATTATGAACAGTAATACACTCTGGAATTGTCAGTTGCCAGACTTGTGAAAACTACAGACATTGAAGATTTATGTGGAATTAAAATCATGGATTTCCTTGGTAATCAGTAAAATTACAGCACCTCCCCAGATAAAGCTAATCTAGTTTAAACAGAGCCACTGCCAGTGAAAGAACTTCAGCATAAGGTGGATTCTGTGAGTAAACTGTAAGGGCATTTGGTTGTGCCAGTCCCAACCTACCCTCCAGAGTCCAGGCCACTAACAGGCACAGAGCCCAGCCTAAAACAGAGCTGAATAAAGCAATAGATGCCCATGGAGGTACAGGTGGCACATCAGGAGAGGGCACTGCCATGCTCTTGATTACAGCAAGCGAGACAAGAGCATGCCCTGAGCCCTGGGGCATAACTGCATCACACAGAGACAGTATTCAGCCCTCTGGCGCTGACAAGACATACAGAAATGCTGGTTTAGAGGCCATTAGGGAATGTGCCCAGCAGGCAAGATAGAAACACACGCACACACATATGAACACGCTGTTGTGCAGTTGGAGAGCTTGTACTCTCTGCAGACTCCAAAGTTACAGTAATAAGGGCTGAAGTGACTAAAACATGTGCCTAACTCCTCTCCTTACTTCCAAATCAGTGTAGTAAAGCCAGTGTAGACCACAGGAGCTGCACTGCTGTGACAGGAAAATACAACTCTTTTAAAGGTCCAATTCATGGAAAAACTTTTCCTTGCAGTATTGAAAATTTAAGTTTATTCCCCATCCACAAAGTCTGCATATGAAAAATTAAACTGCAGAAACCCATTTTTATTTCACTGTTTTTGTGATGTGACTAAAATAAAGGCATTTACATTTATTCACCTATCAGACTCAAAGAAGTTTCTCTCAACCCATTTATGTTGAAGCGCAGTCTAATAGAACAGAGATCACTTACATACATCAGTCTTAAAGGTCATATAATAGAGATGCACCTAATTATGAATTTGCCTATCAATGGACGATTCCAATTTCTTTACAGTAAAATTAGCTGATTTTTTTTAGCCCTTTTTAACTCCAAAACTTATACTGTGCAGGTTAAATCAATGCATTAAACACACCAGCACATCTCCAGTACTTATTTATTAGCCCAATTTGCGATTTAAACCAATATAAAATATCTGCTCTTTAATGAGCCAAACTGGCATATTAGTTTTTCAGTTTTTAATTAGTTGCCTATTTAAGTAACATGCATAATTATGCTATGACATTTTGGTATCGATGTAGCAGCTGCATTTAAATACAGAGTGTATTTACCTGGCTAATGTTACTCATCTCATAAAACTGCAACACATATCTGCCAGAATAAAAAGAAAACTGGCCAATTAGTGATCTTGGCTGATACTGACTGTGCATTCCTTTCATATAACATTAATTATCGGCGCTTTGGAACATAAACCCACACAAATGTCATAAACAGACAGAGAAAAATACAAGAAAAATGCAGGACATGTTCCCTTTAATAAATAAATGCCATCATAGATCATTGTTTTGTTTCTAAACGAACTCATACTTCTTATCAAAATGTCATAAATATGTCTATTTCTGCTCCAAATAGCAGAAAGTGTTGTGTTAGAACACTAGCGCTGTGTGAGCCGGCACATTTTTGAACTGAAACCACAGCATTGTGAAGGTTCTCTAAAGCTAAACCCCTGCTTTGATTGGATCTGCTGAATGGTGCAGAGATGACCCTTAGTATAGATCTGGGATTTTACAGGGAAGGTCAAGACTCACAGAAGGCACATTGTTGGAAAGCTCAGCTTCTCTAGTTTAAGGTTGAATTTGAAGTGTGTTGGTAACTCAAACAGTTGTATGGTTATTTATATTTAAACACAATGTGTCGTTAAGGAGTCAGCAGCAGCACATTTAACTTAAAGGGTAAAAAAAACACTAGCGGCCCTTCACAATACGTGAACATCTCATGACCACTAGACAAATAGAAATGGTCCAACATTACCTGGAAATCTAGCTTCATTAAGCCTTAAAAGTGAAGAACTACTACTTTTGTTTTGACATGCTAGTCAAACGTAATAATGTAACTGCATGTTGCACATAACAACTAAATGAACTAAATTTACATTCAATTTATATTATAAAACATTAAGTGTTTACTTTTTTCCCTAAGTATATAAAAACTAAGGTTAACATACACAGTACTTTTTTTTTTTTGGAAGTACATGGCTGTGCTATGACAGCAGTGATAAGCGTGTGCACCCGTGTCACGTATGTGTAAGTATGCACGTAGGTTTTTCTGGCTTTTCTGGCCTCTTACCTCTCCTCTTGGAATCCTTTCTGACGCTGGGTCTGGCAGCAGGCTGGAGCTCGGCCTCTGTTGACATATTAAGTCCTTATTCCTGTACAGTGCGGCTGGGTGCCTGTGGCTGGCTCATCTAGAGTGGCTTCCCCACTGCCTCGCGCTCAGACGGCCGCTGCCTCTAGCCCTGACGCTGCATCTTGAGCTCTCCCTGCAGTGGCTGCGCACACACACAGAAGGAAAAGAAAACATTTGAACCATGTTAGTAAAAACGGTTCATTAGGTTCATGCAATTTGGTAGGATATGTTCACAAATTTGATTACTTTGGCCTTGGAATATACATGGCATAACTGCTGATCTGCAAGACACTGTAATAATACATGCCAGGAGAATATTAATGTCATCCGCTGAATAACATTAAGGCCTTTTCTCTTCTGCATTTGTTCATGTTTTGATGATTGTGTTATGCTTTTTGACAATAATGTCAAGTATTACACAGCTGTGTGCAAAAGTCTGGGCGTCCTGGTCAAATTTCATGTTTCATTAATGTGAAAGCAAGTACACATCCTTTACAGAGACCACACTTCTGTACATTTTAGTACACAACTGCAGTTTATTTGTTGAATTTAACAAACTGAAAAAAAATAAAATGGCCTCAAACTAACATTCCAATCCTCCTGAACAGCACGACCAGTTCGGTTCATGTGACTCAGAGGAAGCATTTACAAGCCCTTACTCTCTCAGCTTGGTGGCATCATGTGATTGACTAGACAAGCAGATGGGAACTGACAAAGACTAAACTGATGGGGGCGGGGGCAGGGTACAAACAAAAAAATAAACAAAATTAAAATTCAATTTTTATATACTTTACTCTTTACTTTAAAAATTCATTCATGTCTATATCATCATTAAAGAAGGTGGATGAAAAACTGATCTATATACAAAACAACAAAAAAATGCCCAGTCATTTTTTAGGCGTCTTTTTCTGTTTTACAGGAAAGAAACTGTATTTTTCCTCACACACAGAACTGAAAGAAGCAGTGATGCTCTAAACACAGCAGGGAATTTGGTGGGATGGCCCATCTAAAAGGGTTAATCACAGCACTGACTGCTAGGTGATTTAAAGTCTCATAGGCATACAGGTATAAACAGTGAAAAACAGAGAATCTTCCATATGTTAGCAGAGAGCTGCACATTAGTTTGAACTGCTCTTCTGCTCCTCCTTCTTCAGACTCAAGTGTTTGCCATCCCTCATTAGTGAAATGGAACACACAGCCAAAAACACATCCCTCACCCCCACCACTGCCTCTCTGTCACAGCAGCCAGCCCTCCTTTAGACACACCTCCGCCTCCGATAAGCCCCCTGCCATCCCTCCTTCACCCATGCGGGCGTCTCCCAGTGCCACACGGGCGGCGGGCGTCACCTTTCATGTGCTAATTGGTCTCGGTGGCACGGCGGCGGCTCGGCAGGTGCCAAATGAGACGACAGATCAAAAGCCTCATTCCCCTGCAGCCGCGCCGGAAAAACCAGCAGACTCTGAGGAGGACCCAGAGAGCAGCATGCAGCCACCAGGCCTCCCCACACAGCACTGGAACACTTATCGGTCAAAAGTTTGGAATCAATTTTCTCAATAATACAAAACCAAATGGGTAGCAAACAAATATAGAAATTATATTCTGCTATTACGCTAGTCCTGTACTACGTCAGAAATGTCCAATAATTAGTAGGAAAACAGAAAGCTTGAGAATGTTTAGATATGTCCAGAATGATGATCGGACCTGTAGCTGATTCTAAAATGACTGAAAAAGATGTAACAGTCTCAATAATGATGTTACAAAAAAATTTACACCCAGAATGCCTTGTGTTTTAAAAGGTATGACCAACATTTTAAGCCAGATAACTTGACTAAAAGACACGGTATAAATATATACACACAGAACTAATTACAGTATATTATTTATAATGTTATACTATCTTGTTGTGCCCAAAATACTTGAAATGTTGAATAAAGCAACTACAATTTCCTTGTCTTATTTAAAATACTTCAAGCTACAGTATGTAAGATTTGGGGATTTGGAGACCTCTCTGGTGGAAATATGTAATTGCACACAATGTGCAGAACATTTTTAATGCAGGTTGTGCTTCAGACAACCTCCACCAGTGGATGAAACTGAGGACTGAATGCTCTTTGAACAAGTGTGCAAAGAGAATTTGATCAAAACCTAGTGAAGGACGCTTCCTCTGAGAATGCAAGTGAATTATCTACTGCTGCCATCTTCATCAGTATAATGCTGATTTTGCATTTGACACCTAAACATCGAGCCATACCTTCTTTTGAAGGCTGTGTGTGTGATGTCAATAAATAATGATGCATGATGTGATCTAAAAAACTATGACTTGATGCCTCTGACTTTTAAATGACTATTCCAGGCTTTACAGGGTGACTCGCAGAGGCACAAACTCAACATATTTCAGTGTGTTTTACTTTCTTAAATCTATACTGTATGAGATGCTGTATATAAACTTACAAACATTATTGATATGAATCCAAACTATTAAAGGGCTGTGCAGATGATGGGCAGTGATGAACAGATTCACTAACCACAGACAACACATTTTATCCCAACCACGTTAAGAGCATTTCCCACATCCAAGCCAATTATTCTGTTTGTTTGTAGGATTGCTTTTACCTGCAACATGTCGCAGTGTTTTTGGACGCCATCCAGACAATTCGTTAAGGCACACATCAAACCCATCACAGGGGATGAGGATTTAACTGTCTCCCTCCTCAGTGCCCACCACCAGTAAAAACCCAATAAAATGGAGATTTGCACCTTGAAAAAGAACTCTCCGGAAGGCCTCCGAATCGGAGAGAGCATGCCGGGCCCGGGATGCCCCCAGCAGTCTGGAGAAGTGTCCGGCGTAAGCCAGGGCCGAGAGGATTTACACAGCTATTTCGGAGCTGGAGCCGGAGCCCAGGGCCCTGTGCCACAGCCACTGGCTGGCCACGTGCCGTCCATTGTGTGCAGAACATTTAATTCCAAATGGGGAGCGCATGTCGCTGAGGGCCGGAGAATCGTATGGCACTCTTTATCTGAGAGAAACACACAGAGAGCCCGCGAGTCTGTCCAATTACTGCTATTATCTCTCAGAGAGAGAGAGAGAGAGAGAGAGAGAGAAAAAGAAAGAGAGAGTGCCATGTAAATCTAATTTGTATATGCCTTTTTATCAGTTTGTCTCTTTCCTGAACTTCTCTTGGTTTTCTGGTATACAAATACCCTGACACTTGCTGGAGAATGAGGGCTCGAGTGCTAGTGGAACCAACAAGAGACAGAGGCCTTTTCTAGTTCAAAGTGAAAAGCCTTAATAAGCATATATCAACAGCTTTTTCTCAGCCCAGGTGAACCGAGGGTGCTAAAGGTGCTGCAGCACCTTCTACTTTCAGAACTGTTTAACTGCAACAACTACGAACAATAATAGCAAAAGAAAAGCACTTTAAAATAAATATCTTACGTAGTACAGATATGACACGGTTTGTCATATTTACCCTCGTCATTTGTTCCTGCACACAGTCATGCACTGTGGAAGTTAACGCTGCATTTTCACTACACTGAGGTGAATCACCTCCCTCTGCAACTGTTGGTCACTTTGGGGACGTGTTGCTCTAAACCAAGCATGTTTAACTGTCCAGAGTAAAAGTGTATGCAGTTAAAATCTGGAAGGGACGTAGATGAAAACAGACTTTTTACTGCTTTTAAAATTTTAGACCAGTGTTTAGTTCTTTACAAATGTCTGTATGCAACTTTGTGCATGCCTCAAGTATATGGTGCTCAAAGTTGCAGCATCACCAACTTAAAAACACTACTCCACATTCCTGCTGCAGCCCACTAATATTCAGGAGGCTGGACAGTATGGCAAAAAATATAATCTTTTTCACAGATTTTTTTAACATGTTAAGTATCATGGTCATTGGTTTTGTGGACCAGCTGGAGCAGACAGGCCTAAATACACGATCCAAACGTAATGATTTTTCGAAAATGTTTAAAAATTATAAGGACTTGGTTAAAAAAAAAGAAAAAAAGTTAAATTACATGATAATAGCATGATTGCCTGCCATCCAATCAGTTACTTCTTACTGTGCAGTTTATACAGCTACTATGCACTGATTGTTGTTATAATTGGTCTAAACTTGTATTTTTGCAAGTTGTTCAGTACTAATGATACAATGATATACTCAGGAAAACAAACCATGCCATAACAAATTCTCATGATGTTAAAAACACTGTCATACTGAACTACTTCCATCAGGGGCTTCTGAATCCCACCAAATATGTAGTTGCTTGTGTTGTTTAGGAATGTAAAATAGGCCTACATCTCATTTTAGGTACTAAGGTGTTGTCCATGGCCCTGGACAGCAATAAACATGCCCTGATTAACTGATTTACTTGGAGGTCCCACCAGGGGCTTCTGAATTCCACTAAAGATTTGGCTGCTTGTGTTGTTTAGGAACATATAATAGGTCAGTATGTCATCTTGGGTACTAAAGGTGCTGTCCATGGTGCTAGACAGCAATAAACATGTCCTGCTTAATTAATTCACTTGGAGGTCCCACCAAGGCTACTGAACTTGTGGTTTAGAAACACACAATAGGCCAGAGGTCATCAAATCTGGACCTAGAATCCACTTTCTGGTCCTGGATTTTGTAATCGCTGGTAAGTATGGCCAAGCAGCCAGATTAACAGTCCAGTTCACTTTAAACAAAATCCAGGACATAAAACTAAACTGTCAAGATTTGAAGACATCTGTCTCAGCTTAGCAACTGGGGAGCTGTCCATGGTACTAGACAGTCATACACATGTCCAGTGCAAAAGATTTTCATAGTCGGTTATGGTTGGTTGTGCTTGTGTGGCCAGTTTCCTACATGATCGTAACAGGAAAGGAGTCATTGATTGCCATGCCTTTCTCCTTCAGATGTAGCATAAATACAGTGTCCGATAGGAAACAGACAGAGGGAAAAGTGTACAGCTTGAAGCAGTTTAAAAGCCACAGGTTAGCAGCTTGTTTTTATGAAGAAACGTCATTAAAAAAATCTAATTTAAGCTTTTGAAGGCATGAAAGTTATAAAATATTAGTATAAACTGTCTTGCAAGTCAGGAAACAACTGTGACCTCCTCCCTCTCCAACACACACACACACACACTCACCACCTCCACCAGAC